ATCCCCATCCCCATCCCATCCCATGCCATCCCATCCCCATCCCATCCCATCCCCATCCCATCCCTATCCCATCCCATCCCATCCACTGGAAAGCATGAGGGACTTTCGTGGGACCTGCCCCCCGTTTTGGAGGTCCCATGCTCTGTGTGCTGGACCGTGGCTTATCTGGGACGTGCGGGCACAGCAACAGGGGGGCTGGAGATGGAAGCTCCTCCCTGGAGCTACAGGAGGTGTCCACCATCAGCCTCATGGTTGGACTCCTCTGCCTGTTGTTTAGCTGTTAAAATCAGGCAGGTGGGAGCTCGCTGAGGTTCCTCCCTCCATCCTAACTCCAGAAGCAGTGGGAGCAACCCAGGCAGCAATGCACCCACCCAGACCTGGCCTTCAGCAGCCACCCATGGGACCCCACCACCTCCTCCAGCCTCCACGTTCCATGGACACCACTGGAAGGGGTGGTTAGGGGTGACCAGGGGATGAGGAGATGCCACCCCATGGGGAGGGGGAACCCTTCCAAGCAAGCACATAACTCTGCTGGTGGTGGGGTGGGTGGGGGGGGGAGTGCTTGTGTGAATGCCCACGCTTTGCCACCGCCTTGCTTGGCCCCGTCTTTGGAGACGAAACCCCCAGCGAGCTGTTGGCAGATGGGGGGTGGTTAGGGGTGACCGGGGGATGAGGAGATGCCACCCCATGGGGAGGGGGAACCCTTCCAAGCAAGCACATAACTCTGCTGGTGGCGGGGTGGGTGGGGGGGGGAGTGCTTGTGTGAATGCCCACGCTTTGCCACCGCCTTGCTTGGCCCCGTCTTTGGAGACGAAACCCCAAGCGAGCTGTTGGCAGATGGGGCCGGCGCTTCCTGCGAGCTGTTTGGCACGTGGGCCGGGGTGAAGCAACAGGGGAGCCAACGCAGAGGGGCTTCAGCTCCGGTTTGGGGGTGACCTCCCTCCTGGGGTGCAAAGCTGAAAGAGTTCTTGGCCACCCAAGGGTGACGCTCACGAATGGCGCGCTGGGTGCTCCCAGCCAGGCTGGGGAGGGCCAACCCTTGAATTAATGAACTTAATTAATCAGATTTTTTTTTGTTTTCCTTTGGTATCTTGCCCTGATAGACCCAGAGGAGCCCTGAACATGTTAAATACTGAAGTTAAGGAGTGAGGCAAGAGGCCGCTGACTTGGGGCATGTGTGTGTCCCCCCCCCGCCCTGTCACAGCTTCCAAAGCTGAACTCACC